TATTGCGCTTTCTGGTTACTATGCAGACTGTCTCGCTTTGCTTCAGGTTTCTCAAGAAGACGATCACATCGAAGCGTTAGGCCGTTGATTAATAAATTGTTTCACCTACCAACCTTGCACGGCACAAGAATATTGTAATCATAAACAACTTTGTCGAGGTTGAAGCAAGGGAAAAGTTGGAGACTATTCTTATTGTGGCGAGCTATGGCCCAACCTTCTGCCTCAAACAGGCCTCAAACCACTGCTTTCCTGCCACCGCGCTCTTTATTCTTTACACCACCGGGTCCCCGCCCGGTTTTGCCTATCATTTTCGCATTTTTTCTCGACCAGCTTGGGTGATGAACGCTTTGATACTCTCCCACTTACCCATCCTCCTCCCCACTTTCCCACTTCCTCCATCAGACTTTTTCCGTGGATGTATAGCTCAGCTTCTCATACATGTTCTTAGCTGGGTTGAGCATGCCAACTTTGTTCGGCTCCTGCCCCTTTACCACACAACGACGGGCATCGTTATGAAACTCGAGGATTATGCTACGAATCGCATCCGACATTTCTTTACTCGCACAAACTGAAATGCAGTTCAGTCAGACTTTCCAAATAAAAACTTCAAAATTCAGCTGCTAACTTGCTTTTATGCAGACGAACTGCAAGTAAAAAGGGCGAAAATCTGGACTGAATTATCCAAAAATTGCGTATTAAAACGATTCTTTAAAATTATTTCTTCCACCTAACGTCTTAATTTGGGGATTGAAATTTCGAAACTTTATTTTAGGGCTATAGGATGTGTAATCTTTTGATAAGTGTTCACTTTATTCGGAGTTGTTATAAGAAGGATCAGAAGTTGCAAGCAACTATGGAGTGAAGATAATATTCTACAGGCATTTATCCAAATCGATGTTGAGTGAGATAAAGGCTTTCTGCTAAGAAGGAAAGGATACCAATTCGCAGTGGCTATTGAAGATGAGGTGAATACCGACGTAGGTAATTATCTCAAATCTGGGTTCCAAATCTGAGAAACAGTTCTGGGAGAAAGTTACGGACCCACTGTCCCTATTCGTCATGTCACTTTTTTGCTTTTATACGAACATCAAACTTTACCGAATGTGCAGCGATGGCGCAGTTGAGAGGACAACGGGTTGGAAGGTATGACACGAAGGTTCGAAACCTTGATGAACGTGCTTATTTCGCTTTTTCAAAAGAAGTTTCCTAAACGCCTGCAAAACCCTTTTACGCACCATGTAGACGATTTACAGCCCTCCTTCACGTTTGCGGAGCACCAGAAATGCTGATACAGGTGAATTTTCGGCTCGGGGCACGAAGGAACNTTCTGCTCCCGGCACTTAAGGTCAGGGCCAATACAACCCACATGATGAGTAAGGAACCTATGCTCGATTCGATTAGATCAAGGGCTGCATCGAGACGTTTGGCTTCAACCCTACTGGTCGTCGACTCATGGAGTTCGTTCGGGAACCATGAGGCGATTCAGATTGCTTTGCCAACTACCAAGGAGGTGAAAGTACATAACATTGACGCAACTTCTCAAATTCAGCCTCTCGATGTACATTTTTCTTATTACTTAAGGCCATGTATGTATGTGGGTACTGTTCCTTTCGTAATTGTTGATAATCTGGACTTCCACATTAGCAACCGCAACTCCATAACCCGCCTTATCTCAATAGTGTCCTTCTTGTTTAGAACACCTAAGTTCGGAAAGTTTCTTTCTTATCCATGGTTTGCATCAGGTAGCCGAATAGGGACCTGGAAAAATTTGAAACTTCTGTGGAATATTGCTTCCCTTCTAGGACTGTGAGAGTTACGGGTTTGGTGATATTCTATCATGTGTTGCTCACATTGTAAGAAGCTTCTCTGCTTCAAACACTGTGTGTTGGCTTATCACATCTGTTCATAATATACTCACCTATTGTTGCGCTAGTATTTTTGCATAGAAATGGCAGCTGAATGCACCAGCTCACTACTACCCATGAGGGGCATTACTCCATCCAAAAGCGCTATACCCTGACGAGTCTTCCGACAGCCTTCTTTTGAGAGTCATGGAGCTGCTGAATTTCTTGACCTCATCTTGAGTGCCGGGAGCAGGAGGGTTCAATGTGCACTCCTCTCCCTACTCTGTCCGTGGAGCCGACGAAAAAGTTTACCTGTATTAGCATTTCTGATGCTCTGTAATAGTGAGGATTGGCTGTAAATGGTCTATATGATGCATAAAAGCGTTTTGCAAGCGTTTAAGAAACTTCTTATAAAATAGAAACAAGCGCATTCATCAAGGTTCTGAACCTCCGTGTTACACCTACCACCCCGTCGTCCTCCCAACTGAGCCATCGCCGCACGTTTAGTACTGGTTGGTTCTCGCATAAAAGCAGAAAAGTGGCATGACGCCTGGGGAATGTGGATCCGTGACTTTGTTGACAGAATCCTTCCGCAGATTTGGAACCCAGATTCAAAATCAGTGCTCGAAACAACCTACGTCTATATACATCTCGTCTTGAATGGCCACTGCGGCCTGGTATCCGACCTGGTATTGTGAGTAGTCTATTCGCCGCACGCGGCTGTCGCGAATAAGTTACCTGATTATTTAAGCTCTACCCTCCTCCACACAGCTCGATCGACATGCGATGACTATTTTTGGCATGTTTTTCGCTGTTGCTTCTCTTGTTCCTATACTTTTACTCGCTCCGCTGCTTCTGTTTCATTTTACCACATTCTACCGCGAGCGACGTCGCTCTTGCTAATAGGCGCTTCCCACCTCCTCCTTCTCGTTGTTATGAAGTTCTACCCTTAATCATTCGGGATTCAATGCCACATACAAGAAAAAGAACATTGTTACTAGTCGTTTAAAGGCTGTGTACATAAGGTACACGTGTGACAAACAGTGATTCGCCACCTATACTCAGACCAATCACTAAGTGGGGAAGTCTAACAACTTTTATTAGATAACTGGTGGAGTTGAAATGCGTATGTTGCCTATACGAGCAGAGATGGTGTAGTGGCAAGCGGCATCCCATTTCGCACGCATGGCCCTGGGTTCGAATCCCGGATCGATATCTGCCCAGGCCAACCAATTCTTCCATCCCTCCGGGACGGCTTAATTAGTAGTACCAGTCTCGTCCGTGAGGATAAAAAGCAATAAGCACTGACTTGTACATCGACTGGCCACCGCATGTCATTGTGTAGGTTATATAAGCATTCAATACGTCAATACGATTCTGAATGGAAGTCGAATGAAGGGCGCATCCTTCAGACGGGATCGATTAAGGCCAAGAATCATTTAATCCTTCATGTTGTTGTCTACAGAATGAATTGCGCTAGCTAATCGATGAACAAGCCGCTGATTTTATCCTTTTAGACAAGTACGATACCAAGCATCAACACCACATGGGTGGAAGGCTTTGTGGGCCTGGGCGGACATCGATTCAAGATTCGATCTCTATACCATCGTGTGTGATAATGCTCCATAATTGATAATGATAATTTGTCACTAAACCACTTCCACCCCATTATTTATGTTACAACCTGAAATTGTGTATGATTGATATCCGCTGATACCTAAAATGAATCCAACTAAAAACGTTGATATAAAGCCGCCTACCTGATATGAGCTTAGAGCTGTGAGAATCAGAGAAAGCTTACAATGCTGGGGAAGCAATGTTGGAAGGGATTTACATTTGTAACCAATTTTTCCCATTATAGGGGACATTTCGAGTACTGAGAGAAGTGTTAACTGTTATTCCCCACAGTAGCTACTACTTAAAAGGGTGGTAAAACAATAACATGCCTTCTTCTGGGAAATCTTTCAGTGAAAGTTCAAAGCAACTACTTTCATTTGAGATCGATACGTGAGCTGGGCTGACTATATTAGAACGGGTGGTACCTGTGAAGTAGCACGCGGTCAGAGTACTGGCGTAATCGATCCCGTTTAGGGATTTATTAGCGCCACAGCTCTGGAAGCCTAAGCGAAACGGTTGCTGTACCTGAAAAAAAAGGGAAAAGTGATGTCTTTTAAGGTGATGATGAAGCTCAAAAGGCTTCGGAAACATGTATGACTGCCCCGTAGGGTTGGGCAGTAGCTCAAGAGCGTTGTTCTATAATTAGCTTCGTCGTACTGGTTTTGCTTGCCCGACGTTTCCAACAAATCGTCGTCTTCAAAGACCTTAGCTCTTCGGAGCTCGGAGATATGTAAGTATGTACCTGAATGAGCGCCCAAACGTGCTAAGCCACTTACAACGACTTCCAGAAACTCGAACAACACAAGATTTCAGCGAGGGAACCAACCTCTGCGGTTTCACGAGCGTTCTCGTGCCTTGATTACGTGAGCAACACTTGGGAAAGCCATAGATCAGGAGCTTCAAACTGCTTCCAGGTCCTGAGGGTGATAATTCGTTTGGAACGTCGAGCAAATCAAGCGACTCTGCCGTATGTAAACTCTGTGTGGCATGTCCAGGTTTCACGATTTAAGATTTTTTTATTTCGTTTTAATTATCGTGACTTTGTTATGTTTTTCATATTGTTTAGCAAGCTTCACTGATTCGGATATGTTATTCTTTAATTATTTGTGAAGACTCTGAGAATGGAATCTCAGAAGATTGGAACAGCTCAAAATTTCTCAACACTAAACAACCACCACTTCGAAAAAATGCCTGTTACAGTCCGAACAGGATTTCATGATGAATTTCACTGTGTCAAGCAATAGAAGATTTGAAATGTTAGTGGCCTTCGCTAGTCTTTCCTCGAGATCTCAGCAATTTCAAAAGAGCGTTACATCTCAAAGCTTCTGCTTTGAGCTCTTCGGCTCTGTAAGTTGCCTCTCGATATTGGAAGTCCATGATGTTGACGATGACGCTTATGATTGACGTCATGGCGTCGACTTCAGTAATTATACTGCTTTGAAAAAAGAAGTGCCTCTTCTGAAGCAAGAAAAAAGAAATTTGGTCTGACCATCCTATGATCATGAATAGCTAAGGTTTTGAAGAAGTCGATTATTTTTTTCAGAAGAGTGACGCTGACTTACCACTGAAATACTCAACAAAACCTCTATCAAGGCCGTGAAGATTCTTGGTATCGGCCAAATGAGCGAAGTCAAGCGTTTTCGCCAATCCTGATGGGATTATATCCAGGCGGTTTTCTATGTCCCAAAAACGATCATAATGCACCTCGTTTGACAGAGCAGAATGGTCTCACAGACAAATATTCCTTTTCCGGCAGAAACTCTGATGAGAAACATTGCAGCCGTGCTTCTCCTATACCTCAACATCTCAATGTTAGTGGGTTGTTGGACTTAACGTTTTGCTTTTTGGCTCTTCACCACACACGGGCTCAACAATTTTTCTTGATATGGGACACCGTGCGCTCCGCCGCAAGTGTCCAAACCTTATGACCTTTTCCATGAGCTTTTGTCCGTTTACCCAATTTAAACTGCTGAGTTTCAGAAAAACCAAAATGAAGCGCTGTTTAGAGAAAGCTTGTCGACTTTGACATGGTATTATTGCAACTTATAGCAAGTGCAATTTAGTCACTTTCATAGTTTAGACTTTTTTGAAAACACGCGGTAGATTCCAACTGTTTCATGCCCAAAAAATCCTCAAAATTGCAGTGGTACTCATCAGAGGTTTCAGCCTGAAAGGAATTGCCGTACTCGGCCTAACGACAGCCCGTAATGTGACTACTAATAAACGACAATAAGTTGTTCAGACCGACTAGCTAGGCCAACCACGCTTTCCATCCTCTGGGTTGATTGATTGATACCAGACTGGCTGCATTCATAGTCCACGATTCGGCGAGCCGCCAGTCGCGCGACCGGTCGCGGCTTGAGAGGATAAAAGCACTGACTTGTAAACACAGAGGCATTGAGAATTGCTAGTGCATATTAAATATGGAAACGTTTACCACAAAGTTAAAAGATATGATGGAAATTCTTTTAAAAAATGGATACAAAGAAGAGTTCGTAATTACTAGTATAATTAGGTGCATATATAGAAATAAATTTATATGTTACAAGTTTTCTATTGAGAATAATTTCAATGAAAGCACCTATTTAGTTAATGGAATTCTGAAGCAAAAATAGGCATTTCCAATGAAATACTTCATGTTCATTCCTGTCCTTGGATCGAACAGTGCCTTTACCTATTCCCTTTTCCACTAACCCCAAACCACTGACGAGCCTCAGGGGAAGGTGGAGTCGGTGGTTCGTCTGGTGAAGAGGCTAAACGAGCCATCTTTAGTTTGTGTGGTTATTTTGTCGTTTTGATGTGTTTGCTTATTGTCGTTTTTTATGCTCCACTAGCTTCAATTTGTTACTGTTAACTTATTGTAGACCGGCAGGCCACCGCAAGTCATTGTATAGGCCACGGACGCATTCAATCCTCTCTACGATCCTGAATGGAAGTGGAATGCGACAGACTAGATTGATTAGCACTTGAGAACTTTATCTTTTTCTCAAGTTAGTCAAAGGCCCAAGTTCAATGGAGCTTACGCTGTTACCAACATTCACTGGTGTTCTTGCAGACCAAAGACCTACTTTCTAGGCGTGAAGACGTTTAGTTCATTTCAAACGACTTTATCTGTGAATCCGACGGTAGCCTCCATAGTTTGACGTTCAGCCTGAACACCTGAAATGCGAAGAAAGCGCTCCTTCTGTTTTGAGCGGAACAATAAAAGCACATGATTATGTGTGACTTCAGCGTAGTTCAAAGTCGATCACGGTATTTACCCAAATGAACTCCCATAAAAATAAATGGCCCAATTTACTACATATAGGTGTAAAAACCTACTTAATCAAATATTTTTCACTGATTCGGCCACTTGGGCGAGCTATTTTCAGCCTAAAAAAACCACCATAGAGGTAATTGTCAAGGTGACGACGATCGAGAACTCAGCTGGTGCTTTCAAATACCATCCAGACATTCCAAGCTTACTATGTTTCAGATTTCTGATGTTTTTAAGTAAAGATACCTTTCTGAAAAAAACATCAAGCTGACCCGAAGAGGTGCGGTAAGGTCAAAGGCAAGGTCCTTTATCTGATCCTAAATTCAAAGTGATATTGTGCGGAGTCGTCAAAGACCTGTCTTAAAGACAAGCTACGCTGTTGGCTGCCATAAAATGGGAAAATTTATTGGGATCGATGGGAAATTATCTCTGCCAACTGTGCCATTATGCTGACATCGTTTGATTACCGGGCTTTCCATGGCCAGGTACTTGAGCCATTGCTCAGTTACTGGTTCAGATTCCACGTCTCTCAGCATCAATTTTGCTCTAGAAAACACGTCACTCAAGAGATTTTTCAATCCTATCAATCGATTGTTCCAGTAGAGAAGTGTTAGTTGCAGCAGGAATGAACGAAACATCCCTTTGAAGCAAAATGGTTCTCCAAATCGTTCTAGGGACGGAATCCCTTCACCCGTAGGTCGTAAGGAACAGGGCGAAGATTTTTTCGCTGTTCAAGATGGCCTTGGAGCCATTTTCCGGAACGTTTCCCAATAGCCTCTTCCCAAAATATATGGACATGCTGCTTCTGCTGTATTCACGCAGCGGGGGAGCCTTTGAGCGAAAATATCAAGTGGTTATAAAATGAACAATAAAATGGCAGCAGCGATAAGCTTATGTCAGCAATTTGTGGATTGACATTGTACAGGGCTGTAGCTGTATTTTGTTCTTTGTAAAAACCCTTGTAAACTTTTTGTTGAGCTCATTGTGCGGTACTTCAGCACGGTAGGTTGCTGATAGAAACAGCCCAAAAGAAAGGCTGAAGGTAGTGAAGGTATGGATTCCCCCAGAAAGGAGTTTGCTCGCCGTTCAACTGAGGCGAACCTGTCGAACCTGCTGTTCAATGGGTAAACAGTAATTTAATGGGTACCAGGGCCATTACGATTAGGATCAGATGCTAGTATCTACCGTATGACATTAGCTAATTCGCAACATTGTGTGGCGCCTACCAGTCGCCATTAGCAGTGAATTTATGTCGATTTTGTCGATCGCTTTGTCGTCAGGTCCTCCACGTGGTGAGAAATGGTTTCTTTCACGGGCCGCTGCCTCCGCCCGCCCGCACCTCTACGACTCCATTACCCCGCTGTGTTTCATTTTCACCTACGCCATTACCCTTCTGGATTCCTAACCCACTTGATTTCCCTCCCCCCACGTCGTCGTTCTTGATAGAGTCCACATGATCCGGAAAAATACCACCTGCACCGTATGAATGCGTCGTCCATTCTTTGATCATTACACTACACACAGGAGAGTTGCGGATCGGGATCCCGAACGTAGCTATCATTCATTGCGTTTAGGACCGCCAGAGACGACGTCTAAATTGCGATAAAAATGGGAGCGATTGCAGATTACGGTAGCCAAGCACCTGCTTGTGCAGCAGGATAGATGATGTGTGGACCGAACACCCCACCCTGTTGTTATAGTTATTGACAGGCAACAGAGAACGACTAGTGAGTGCTAGACCTAAAGTCCAACTGGGTTCTGCTACTTCTAGGTTACCGAGTGCGCTTCAGCGATGGTCTGTAACGAGCTTCTCCCCAGGTAATCGTGGTGTACATTCGGTTCTGATTGCCTTATTGAAGTGCTTATCACTGATTTCTTCGCCACTTAACGGTTTATATCAATGCTCAACTATTCGGAAATATATTCCCTTTGAAGAGAATCTATACCGTTTAAGTGGAGAGTCGTCTCCTCTCCTCATCGATACAAAGACGGTCGCGGTGGTTTTATGTGTTGCGCTGATTTATTCTACGATCGTACACGACTTCTAGGCAATGTCAAGATAGGTAATCGATAAGTCGAACTTCATTTACTGATCAGCAGTTGGTGGATAGTCAGGATTCTGTACGGCCTAGGAGACGCACTCTGCCCTGAATATTCAGAAGGTGAACGACCTCGAGTCGAGTTGATTCGTCTTTTCTCACAGGACGTCTCTGAATTATGGCCACATCGTCCGTTCTGAGGGGTTTCAGCCGTCGTCGTCCCTTTGCAGAGATGTGCGTGCACTTTAGTGAATCGCAACACTTGAAACGACGCAGTTAACGACGTTGATTTACGATCAGATGGCGGCACGTCTGGTAGCAAACGAGCGCCTCGAACGAGCGAACACCGACGAGGAGAAACGCAACGGCCTCACCTGACACTGCAATACTTTGGTGTTTTCTTCGACATACCAAGGGTTTTCCAGGAAGTAGAACCGAAAATAGCCATGCTTTCAGTACAACCGATCAATTGCGTGTGGGCCATGAACAAAGCCAACCTATTCAAAGCTTTCATGTCGATCGTTTTGCAGTTGTTCCCTGGGAAGCCAATATTTCTGCAAAACATATGCCCCTTTCCCCTGTGAACGGTTAACGCCATAATTCTTCCAAAAACCCAAGCCATTCATGGTGAAAAGCAGACGTTTCAAATGGCCATGTGTGGGCGGATTCATATTTCTTGTATGGCTCGATTTCGATTCGCGTCGGTAGGGCCATTTTGGCACGGCCAATCACTCACAGCCAGCACAATGAGCCGTTTTTTGATGAAGGGTTTTTGTAAAACCCTAGCAATATATCGTGAAACGTCGTCCTTCAACAGCCTATATGCAATGTAGGCGATGTAAAATGTGCGCGGCCCTTCTGAATGAAGAGCGGAGGAAAAAGCGGCATCCCTCCTCCCTTTCCTGATGTCACCCCACCAGCTCAGACTACCACATGGCCGCTCCGCCGTTGACATTTCCAGAGATGGCTTCAGTGATAGCTAGGGATGGTAGCGCTACGGACGGGCTCTGTCATCGGTATCATCCCTCCGGAGGGGGCCTCTCTGCACTTCCCCCTTCTTGCATGCCACCCAGTTTCTCAGTTCTAGTCGACAGTCCACTGTCGTTCACCCGTGAGAATGCAACATTAGTTACGTTAGAGAAAGATTTTCCCCGAGTGCTAGCTGGAGAGTGTAGACAACGAGAGTGGGGAAAAAGTTAACGGCGGCAAGCAGCGAGTCAGTGGGTCCAAACAAGAGACACTGAGAAGGCCACCAGAAGAAGGTGGACTCATATCAGTAGAATAGGGAGAGATTGATTCGAGCAACGAAACGGGTGTTCGGCGGCATCCCTCTGATCTCGGGGAACCCGTGGTGTTCGCCGGGGATTCAGGGT